CCTGCGTCTGGCACCCGAGCCTCGGAGGGAGAAGGGCAGGCGAGTCCGCGTCCAGCTAAAAGGGGCACGGATGCTTCCCTTGTTGAAACTTGAATGCTCGAAAACGGCCTGAGAAGCAATAAACGGTCTGATCCTTTTTCTCCCCCCTCCAGAAATCCACTGCAGTATTAATCCAAGGAGGTGCTTTGGGGACAGTTTGCAGTACAATGGCTTCTCAGTACGTCGTAGTGGCTCTGGCCATTTTCGCCTCTTTTACCCAGGTTGTAATAGAAGCCAGCTCTTGGTGGTAAGCATCTTCTATCGACTTGCTTTTTAAAAGGGGGTGTCAAGATTTGCTTGATTAAGTATCTATTTGCTTCTTATGTACTTTTTTTCTGAGGGAGTACCGCATGAGCAAGACAGCAGTGGGGTAATGCTGTAGTTATAATACGCTGTGTAGTAAAATGAACGGCTCTCTCGAATAAGGGTAAATGTTCAACATCTCGTGTTGTAAAATTCAGTTTTTAGAATGCTGTGCAGTAGATTGTCTATGGATTTGATGATCCTTAAATTTCTAGAATCATCTGTCTTTTAAAAGAGTGATTTCAACTCCCTTGGATTAGAAATTTTGCGTATATGAGAGAGAATGCTGATTTACAAGTAAAAACTTTTATTAAAGTTTCAGTTTGAACTTTTCTGTAACTTACATGTTTATAAATACATTTTGTTACAAAGAAGTACACGTAAATTTCTGCTTTGGCAAATTATCTGTTTCTGAATAGTGTATGATGTTGGGAGCTGTTGAAATAGGTGTTTCTCAGCTGTTTCAAGTGATCCTTTTCAGATTAATGGCCACTTTTTAATTGAAATGTATCATGTGAAGAGCACTTTGAGAATTAAGAAAACAAAGTTGATTTTGTTTACAGTGAATATACTTGCCTCTGTATTTTTGTGTCATTTAGAAGAAGCTGGAAGTATTCTGCAGCAAGTTTCTAACTTCTGGCTTGTGAAAGGCTTTCCTATTTGTTTGTGGTAGAACGGATTGAAAAATCCAAACTTAAATCTAAAATGTGTGTTAAAATAAATTTGGATTTGGGGGGCTTTTTTTGGTTTTGCTTTATTCTCTGGCCTTGCAGTTGTTTAGAGCTCCTGTTATTTTTACTATGTTCATTTAAGTTGATGAAGGACTGACTAGATGCAAGTCTTCCAAGTCCGTGTCTTACTTCAGTCCCTAATGTATGGTGATAACCACATGGATGGGAACTAATAACTTCTGTTCTGTGTTGTCTTTAAAACAAAAGTTTCGTATTTAAGTGGGTTTTTTCCTCATCTGTTAGCAAAACCAGGAGTTGTATACTCACGTATAAGATACAGTTCTGCTTGGGATTTACAGACTTTTTTTTTTCCTTTTCTGAGTCTGCTCTTTATTAATCCAAATCTTTCTTTATGCAGGTCTTTAGGGATGAACCCTATGAACCCCATGAACCCTGTTCAGATGTCAGAGGTGTATATAATAGGAGCCCAGCCACTATGTAGCCAGCTAGCAGGGCTTTCCCAAGGACAGAAGAAACTCTGCCAATTGTATCAGGACCATATGCAATTCATTGGAGAGGGCGCAAAGACGGGCATTAAGGAGTGCCAGTATCAGTTCAGACATAGAAGATGGAACTGCAGCACTGTGGACAACAACTCTGTTTTTGGCAGAGTCATGCAGATAGGTAGGAAGCAACATCTTTACGATTAAACTCTTGTCTAAGGATATGTATGGCACACACTGTTCTGCACTTGAAACTCTTGCCAGGTTCTTACTGAGTACTGTATACAATCAAGTGTTTTTAAAAGTTGGCAAAGGAGTTGAATTATTTTTAGCTGGAGGTGATTTCCCACCACTGTCCAGCCAAGTGTCTTGGAAAACAAAGTAGGAATATGTATTTGCATATGGGAATAGAGGAGAAAGGAAAATGCGTCCCTGAAATCTCCTTTTAGAAAACCTGAGACAACATGAAGGCAACCTCAGAGAATTAAAACTAGCAGTGTCTTGTGAAATTAAAGATGTCCCTGTCTAGTTCCAAAGTTAGCAGCTGCATAATAAATTGCTCTTGGTCTGGAGGTTAACTGAAGATTGCTGCTCTGCCTATTAGTGTTTATAGGCAATTTCTTCTTGCTTATTACCGGATATGGTAACTTTTTTCTCTTTTTGAGAAAGGTAGATCTATGTTAGAAATAACGTAGCAGGGTAATTTTTAATGAAATCAGTTCTATCAGGACAAAATGTGTGATTGTCCTTGTAACTTGCATTTAATGTAATCACATCGCTGGTAAGAGGGACAGATTCCTGTTTAACATCTTACCACAATTTGGTGGACGCTCAGCCCTTTCCCTGTCAGATCCTCTTTGAAACGTGCCTCTCCAGTGCTCACGTGCTGCCTGCCTTTCCTGTCGTTTAAGGACCTCGTCGTATTTTAAAGTCCTTGGCAAAATTTTAACCAGTGCTGTTGAACTGGGTCCGTGGTGAAGCCTTCCTCTGCCCTTCCCAAGTCAGATTGCTGATTCTGTGTAAGCAACTGAAAAAATGCCTATTTTTCTGGGTGACAGTTGTGATCTTTCATGTAGTGATCGGTACAGTGACAAACTCAGCAGTGCTTTTTAGTTGGAGATGTAAAGTAGAGCTTTTATGTCAGTGTTTTTTCTGTCCTGCTTTAAAAAAATAAATTTTTAAAATCAGACTCAAGCTAGGTTTATCTGTAAATGGGCAAACTCCAGTTAAGGTTGAAGGAATACATCAATTCACATTTGGTCTCGATTTTTATTAAAAGAAGTTTTTATTTGGACTTTGTCAGACAAATAGAAAAAAAGTCTATTGCATAAAAGTACCCAACTGGAACAGCTGATTTAAGATAAACAAACTTCCCTGGGCTTTTTACAAGCACAGTATTAACTCCCCCATCCAGTTTGGTTTTTTGCTTTACCTGAGCAAAAGTCTAAAAGCACATGAAACATGAAAGACAACTTTTTCTGTAGACCTTCCTGTTCCAATAATCTAACAAATGTCATAAAAATAATCTGTTTAAAATTTAGACCTTCATCCTTCAGCTCTTACGTATTATCCAAGCAAGTGAAAATTAGCTCAAGGGGACTACCAGTGTGAAGAAACGTACAGGATTGGGCCCGTGATTTGTGGTGTCTGTCTCCAGAATAGACGTTTCTGCCCTCCCCAAGTATGACAGATCTATTTAAAGGTGGTTTCTTTCAAGTTAAATAACTTTGCCGCACCCTTCTGCTGAATATGACTGTATTAGCTGATGTCTACACAGCAATTCATCATGTAATTAAACCACTTATTTTAATTGCAGATGGAAGCAAGGTTAATAGCCATATTCAAGAGTTAAAGAGCCTAAAGAGTGTATTCACTGAGAACAAGAAAGGTGTTGTGGGTAACAGTTGCGTTATTTCATGCTGACCTTCAGCGATGACCATTTGCTGTTCCTCTGAGTGGCAGAAAAATTTACTTTTAGAGCCTGACTCGATTTTACTTCAGCCTGCCGTACCCTGGAGTGTCAGGGACTGTCGGATACTCCTTATTCTCACTGATGCGGGAAGATGGTAGTCAAGGTGTGACTGCACATAGCTTGGAAGGATTTTGTCATTGGAGCTAACGACCACGCTGTTGCTGGCAGTGCGCAGGAGAGCGCCTAGGCAAAGCGCTGACTGACAGCACAGTAATTACCCCAGTGTATAAATGGACAGTCTTTCTTCCAGGATTTGTCCTGCAAAGTTAGCTAAAGCTGTACAAATAAACCTAGCATTGGGTTTGGAAACTTGCTCTGTGGCTTATTGAACTGCAAAATTTTAGGGCTTTTGTTCTCTGCTGCTCTCCTTTGGTGCTGGTTCTCAGGTCGGGCCATGGTCCTTGCTGCCTTCACCGCCTTCTGCCATCTCCTGGCTTTGGGGCTGGCCCCGGGCCGGCTGTGCTTGGGCTTTGCAAACAGCTGAGAAGTGCTAAAATAAAGCAAAATAACTGGATCCTGCCTCAACAGCTTGGTGTAGTTGGGGTCCAGTTTATTCGTGCCTGCTGCCTGATGTTGAATGCTTTTAAAATACAAGACAAAGAACATTTTGTATCTTACGTTCAGGTATAAAAAAATTTGTTCTGTTCTTGCAGACTTATTAATATCAAGTGTAAAGCTCAGCTCCTAGCTCTGTGGGTGGCTTCCTACGGTGTGTGTATATTGAACAATTCCATTTCTATGTTTTATATATATGGGAGAGAGGGGACTTGAATGTGTTTGGAATGTGTGTTTGCTTGCCATGGCTACAATAGAGAGAAATGCTGGACTGTGGGAAAAGACAGATATGTTTGACGCTGAAGGAAAGCACAGTTGTGCCTAAAGACTTTGGGGGGGAAAAAAAAAAGGAAAAAAAAAAAAAAAGAAGAAAAAATTCGGAGTAACTCATCCATGTGGAACCATCACTCTTAGTGTGTTCCTGGGGTCGATGACTTGAGGCAGTGTTGGCTTGCAGCCTGCGGGAGCTTGGAGTCTACTTCAGCAGCTGATGCTGTTTTATAATTTGCCTAAATGTTCAAGGGGTGAACTTGGGGGCAACTCTCCTGTCTGTACCCCAGCCTTTCCTTCTCCTTCCCACTAAGAGTAAGTTTTTAAAAATATCCTCCAGGACAATAATGAAAACTAGTCAAAAAAAATTCAGATTTATGAGTTAAGTCCTGCAATAAATGGCATAGTTAACCATGTAAACGCATGAGCTAACTAAACATGAAAAAGAATAAAATGGAACAGAAGAGACAAGTCCTGTGGTCTGAAGCAGACCACGTTTCTTTCCTCTCAATTTAGTGGAAATTTTGCTTAAGGAATTAATCCAGAAATGTGTGTTACAGAACAAATGGGAACATTAAAATCTGCATGAGGTTCCCCCTGCTATACTTTGCAGTAAATGCAAGGCATAAGTCACCACATAAAGCTGAGTCTTTTTCAGCTGAAAAGGCTACTTCTGTAACCCTTTGTACTCATAATTCATGTAAGTACTTCCATGAGCAGGTGTCTGTGAGAATAGAGCATTGTAAGTAAGGGAGCAAAGTGCTTCTCACCTTCCTTAAATCTGATCTTTCCCAACGTAAGCCTTCTGATTTTTCCCATTTAAAACCAGCATCTATTACTAAAAACTAATCCAGTGGATGACAGCTGTTATATTAACAAAGCTGCTCTGAGCATGGTGTCATCTTTATGTTAAATATGGACCAGACTGCAAATTATTTATGTTCCAGAAGTGCTCGAAAGCTCCTGTTAGATTTGACCTGTTATGGTAGGTCTTGTACAAAGAGTTTCGTCTTCAGAATGTTGCTGTCTAAATACATATGACATGTCCAAAACGCAACCTTTTAAAGCCTTGATTTTACAAAGGCCCTTGCTGTTCCCTAAGAAAAATCTTGTAAAATCAAGATTAAAAACTAGCTTGATCTATTGATTGGACTAAAGATAAGGAATAAATCTTAACTCATAAATTAAAAAAAAAAAAAATTAGTCTATTCTCTGTCACTCTGGGAATCTTTCTTGGAAGAGACCCAGTGGGATACTGTCTCTCAAGAATGAAAACAAACTTCAAGTGGGCTCGCTGGTGCAAGTTTTGTGGGGTGGGTTTTGATTGGATAGTTGGTTGAAAGCTTTTCTAGTTGTAGGCAGAACTTGTGGCACCCTTGGAAAAGTGATAGGGGTAGTCAGGCTCTAAATAAAGGTGGGATTATGTGCTGTCAGGAACATGGTACGTGGCCATATCTTGCATTGTGGGTATGGTAACTTTCTTCTTCAGAAAGTTTGAAACTCGAGATTTTCAATTTCCATTTAAGGGCACCAGATGCAAGAGAAAACCTTCAAGGCCGCCTTGTGCCATGGGTTTTTTCTTCCCTGTAATTTGTAAAGATGATTGTCCATGGACTCACTTGCCATATTCACATGAGCTGGAGTGGTGGATACTAAACAGCATAGGTTGTCGTTGGTTTTAAATAGCCTCCTGCAGAAGTGCCTGGCTTATGTGTAGGGTGAAATGTTGCATGTTATTCTGCTGCGCATTTCTTTTGATACCAGGAGGCTTTGTAAAATGCTATAACTTTAAATAAGTTGGTGCAAGTGGGTGAAGTGCATAAATCATGTTTGAGAAGTAGTAATTTAAGAACCAGACTTTTAAAAGTTGTATTTAACATCTCTTTTTTCTGAAAGACAGGGAGTCTGTTTCCCTTTCTGCCCCTCACACACAGACACGGTTGCTTCGGCCCCGCTGGCATTGTGCTCCGGCCCCAATTCACCTTCTCCCTCATCCAAGCTTTCACCAGCATGAATGAGAAGCGACTCCTGCTCTTCACAAACAGCTTGTGTGCTCTAATGGATTGTTTTTGCTTGGGTTTTTTTGGAGTGAAGACAATTTGAGGAGCATGGTTCAGGGTTACCCTACGTTTTAGTAGGTGAATTAGTTTTGGTGGCTTCTGGAGAGCCTTTGCCCTTCCGGCTTGTCGGTGGGCAGGGAGTGGTGCACATGGGTTCTCCTGTAACACCGCTTGTCTTTCTGCGCAGGCAGCCGGGAGACGGCGTTCACCTACGCAGTGAGCGCGGCCGGGGTGGTCAACGCCATGAGCCGTGCCTGCCGGGAGGGCGAGCTCTCCTCCTCCAGCTGCAGCCGAGCAGCGCGGCCCAAGGGCTTGCCCCGGGAATGGCTTTGGGGTGGCCGCGGGGATAAAAGTTTGTTGACGCCCGGGAGCGCGAGAGGGTTTACCAGAGAGGCTCCTACGAGAGGGCCCGCATCATGATGAACCTGCACAACAACGAGGCGGGGAAGTGAGTAAGTGGCTGTGAAACAGCACATCCCTCTGCCCCTGTCTGCGTCCCTCCTTTTGGGGAAAGACGAGCCTCGGTGGGGCACAGGGCAGTGCTGGGTGGTGCCCAGCCACCAAGGCTTGCCTCCATTTCCATGCACAAAACAAGAAAACAGCAAGTACAGGGTGTGGGTGGGGAGTGTATGAATTTGTATTGCTCCTGGTTGTCTGACTGCCCTACTGCCTTCCCCATGGGGGAGGATTGGGGCTGAAGTGTGTTGTATTTCCCTCCATATTTTTTCACTGAAAGTGCTCTGCTCCCTATGGATGCTTTGTAGAACAGAATTTTATTAGTTTGTATTTCCAACCAGGACAGTGTGTGTTGGAGGGAAGAGGAACGCGCTGGGCTTCCCAGGCTGGAACTGTGCCGCAGGATTGTTCTGACTGTATTTTTTCTTTTCCTGCTTAAAGAGGATGTGAAAAGCTCCTCCATATTATTAGAAAACATGGTCTTCTGTGGTTAAACATGTCTTTATGGTTTCTTTAATCTCAAAAATGCCTTAAATGAATGGGTGTAAACTTTTCTTTTTTTAATAGTCTGAATATGAAGAGCCAAAGTCATTATTTTCCTAGAGCTTGAAGTGCCAGAAATATTCGGCTGGAGACTTTACACTTGTGTTCTAAGGTGAAGAAGGATGAAAGATAATTGAAAATTAATAGTATTTAAATGTGAGAGGAGGGTGTCTGAAAGCAATGGACAGGCCAATTTACTATTAGCAAGAAGAAAAATGACACTTTCACAGTTGCTCACGGAGACTCGAGCAGTTTTTTCCTGCCTCAGCCTCATCTTTGCAGTGCCATTTGGCAGCGTTAAGACTCTGTAACTGCTGGGTGGAAGTTGTCTGCAGTATCATCTAATGTGTCAGACCCCAGGATTTTTGGGGCAGTGTCAACACTGACTCTTATTTCTATTTGTACAGAGCAAATGACTGATAATTCCCTGCCAAAGCTTTGTAAAGAGGATATTGCTATGTAGCTCTGTCTCCCACCCATAGGTGTTTGGGGGTTTCTTCTTGGATGAAGTCGCTCTTGCAGAGCAGTATTTGGGCTAGGAGGAGGATGCCGAGCCAAGAGCAGACAATCAGCTCTGGCTGTGCCAGGAG